TGCTGTGAGCTGCCTAGAGGGGTTAGCTGAAGGGTGGGAATTCTTATCAAAAGAGATGTGTGTGCATATGCAGGAGGATGAAAATGCCCAGGGAGTTGGTGTGCCCTGGGGAGCATTCGTTTACATGTGGGTTGGGGTCCCTGAAACAGCTCTCTGGTGTTCCCTCCTGCCCTGTCTCTCCAGTATTTCCCTGACAAAGTGACATGCTGGGGAGTACAGACCATGAAACAAGAGAAGAAAAGACTCTTGAAAATACAGACCCGTGGACAAGCACACATATGCGTGTGTGTGTGTGCGTGTGACTATATCAATAGCCAAGATGGAAAGCAAGTTCTCAGACAGTGAGAGGGTGTTGAATAAGAGGAGGGTCTACCAGAGGCAATGAAGAATTGCATTATTTTCCCAACATGTTTACAACCAACAGGCTTTGAAGTCCGAGGAGAGTTGTAGGAAAAAGAGTACTATTCAAGTACGAGCCCAAAGCTCAGACACTCAGAAGTCACTTACAATGAGGGTCAGTTAGGCTCAGGGGGCTATTGTCAGAATCTGACTAATTGAGAGATGAAGAATCAGTGCTTTATAAACTGTAAAGTGCCTTTAAATTACGAGGTGCTATATAAACTGTAAAATACTACACAAATGTAAGGGAGCATGATGACAATTATTTGAAGAGGAGAACATTATTCTGAATGTAGTCTGTGACTTGAGAATTAGACAGTAAGAAAATTATTTTAAACAAACAACAGAATTTGCCTGTTGAAATGTATCTTCTCTCTTTCAGAATCAATAATCTTGATGGGGCTTGACATTTATTTCAAAGAGAAACTACTCAAAACATATGAGACTCCTTTTCTGGGATTAATTTCCTTCAGAACCAGCTTACAAGCCACACAAAATTATCTCATTAATTTATAGTCACACTGTGTTTTGAACCTTACATATTATCTAGCTTAATCATTAGAGCTGACTCCAAAAGAATTTTAAGTGTTTTTTAAAAATCAAAATTCACTCTCTAAAGCAATGATTCTTAATCTTTTGTGTGTGTGTGTTGAGGGCCTGCCAAAATGCACAATGCACAGAACAGTTTGCATGGGAATTTCTAGATCCCAAGGTAAAGAACTCTTGATCTTCCAAGCATTACAGAAATTCAAATTTGAGGGCTACAGATCTGAGGGCAATTATTTTCTGAACATAAGCAGCAGGCTTGTTGGAATAAATGTTTAGCCTCCCAAAGGAATTGGCTGAAGGAAACCACACCACCATAGGAATGATCATATGGTATGAGTGTTTAAAAATTAGTCCGTTAGAGTCATATGGAGTTTGTGTCGTCATTTCTGTAGCTGCAGTGGTTTTTGGCGTGTGTGTGCGTGTGTGTGCGTGTGTGTGTGTGTGTGTGTGTGTTTGTGTTCATTGCTAGTAGGATGTTTAGGCAGCAGCATTTGCCTCCCCAGGTGTCTACCCTCAACTCAATTTAACCAACTCAACCTGAAAGAGCCATAGCCCTAGGAAAAGGAATCAGATGGGCTGAAATTGCCCTTGAGGCCCATCTGGTTACAGGAGAGGAAGAAAGGCATGATTGGCATTTGTGTAGCCGCTCTGGCTCTCTCAGAGGAGTCCTGGCCAAGCGCGTTTGGAGCTTACACTGCTGTTGTCTTTTTGAGATGGAGGGGGGATATCTTGTGATCCTCTCACATGCCAACCACTGTTAGAAACAGACTTTAGGTGAATTAGTTAATTTAACTCTTAACCTCCTCAGAAAGATAGTATTGTTCTCATAGATGAGAAAACTGAGACACAGAAAAGCTAAAGAACTTATAATCAAAGTCAATTAGCTAACAATTAGCAAAGCAGGCATTTAAACTCAGAACTCCTTCTGCTGCCCAACACTGACTCTCCCATTTCTTCCCAGACTCTGGGAAATGTTCCCATGAGCTCCGCCCTCCCTGTGGGCCCCTGGAAATGAAAGCCATTCACTTATCTCATCGAGGACAGTGTCCCGAAAGGCCTGCCCATCAGACACCTGGGACTAAGCCTCATTTGCTTCTATTACTAACTTCCTTCCTGACCTTGGCAAGCTCCTTGAGTGATCTGGGTTTTCTCATCTGTAAAATGAAGAGGATAGAACTAGATGAAACTTCCAGCTGAAAAATTCAGTGACTGAATTCTGTGCACTCACCCCATTCCCTGAAGCTGGCAGGCCTCCCGATCCTGTGGGCTGCTCACCGCTCCCCACTGGATGCCACCTTCTCTGACCGCCCAGCTAGAACGATGCTCCGCTCCAACCGCATGTACGGCTGTTGTCCATTTTACACTTACTTGGCTTATCTTTTCCATTTTAACTTCCATATCTTATCTGAATTCCTCAAATATTTTTGCTTATTTCTTTAACTCTTATGTAGTACTCCAATGTATGAATAAACCAATTTATGTTTTAATTCCTCCACGAGAGACAGTGGTTGTTTCCATTTTTCACTAACAATGCTGTGACTAACATGCTTTTAGTTGCCTCCTTGAGTACTTGTACAAGAGATTCTCCAGAATGAACGTCTAGAAATGGAATTGCTGAGTCATAGGGTTTGTGTATTACGTACTGCCAAACTGTCCACTGCAATGCCAGTACCGACAAACGTTCCCGCTTGCAATGTGTATGAGTTCTGTTTCTCACATCCTCACCAATCCTACCAAGCTTCACATCTTTCCAAACTAGCATTTTGACTGCATTTGCCTTATGACACTCAGCACTTTCTACATTATATCTGTTTATATGCTACCTCCCCTACTGGCTGTAAACCTTGTGGGGTCAGAATCCTTGCTTAATTCATTTTTATATTCGTCCCCCAGAATTTATTGAGCTTAGTTAAGTATACAATAAAGAGTTATGAACACATAAATGATAAGCAAACTGAATTCATTTTGACCCAAGGAGATGGGGATTCGATGATGGCAGGGATAAAGTGTCTATCTCTATTCATCTGGGGTGAGGATGTGGGTAGGGGATCCCCATCAGCTGCAGTGATGGTTGCACAGTGGTCAGAAGTGGCTGACAGACCAAAGGTTTCAAGATCTACAGAGGACTCTCTCCAACCTTTGGAGATCCCAGCTTTAGAAAATTTTTTATCATGTATTCATCAGCTATTGATTGATTGTTGGGAGCGGCAAATTTCCCAGTCTCTGGGGTCATCTTTTTATATACCAAGAGTGCTGCTTCTGAATGGAACTCCCCCACCTCTGGCTCCACCCCATTACTAAGGGTTGGATAGAATCCATGTGTCCTTTGGACTAGGAAGCTGCATGACCTATGGTAAATGCCTCCCCCTTTTGACACCCCAGCAGTTCCAGGCTGACTCATTTTCTAAATAAGCCACTTGCTGCTTTTGGTCTGACATCACATGTGGAAGAATGAGTAATTTTTCAAGAACCAGAGCTATACTGGATCAGAATAAGATACACTGTGTATGTTACTCATAGTTCTAGGACGAGGGGTCAACACTGGTAACAAGTACCCTAACGTTCTCCCACCCCTCATTTCCCTGGGGCCAAGGGATAGAGAAAAGGCAGAGGAAGGAGGTGCGTATGGATGTGAAGCATTTTTGTGTACATCTCTAATTTTGTTATCACATTATGTACAGTTTAGTAAAATTGTCTTGTTGCCTCTGCTAGATTAAGTGAAAGTAATATAGCAAAGTAGGCAAGGCCGTGGGGCTCCGCTGCTTGGGTTCAAATCCCAGCTCCACCACATACCAGTTGGGTGACCTTGGGCAAGTTATTGACTCTTCATTTGCTTCCATTTCCTCATTTGTTAAATAATAAAAAAACAATAATAGTGCCTGTAATGTAGGGTTGTTGCGAGGAATAAATGAACTCATATATATGGATCACTTAGGATTGTGCCTGGAACTTAGTATGCACTATGGAAATATTAGTAAATATTTCCTTGAATCCATCACAATGTTTATGCTCATGTTACATGCTCAATAAATGCTTTTTGATGAAATGAATTCATCTTATTAAAACATATTTGGAACTGGGGGATAGCAGTGACTACAAGTGGTAGCCTCTTGGTTGGAAATGGAAGGAAGCATAAAGATCAATTCCCTTGAGCACAGGTATTACCTGCCTGCCCCACTTTTGTTAGTTGTTTGTTCCCTAGTTATGTGCACTGTGGTGGGATAAGGGCTGCCCCCACCAGGTGTCACTCAATGGAGGTTCTACTTGCTGTTTTTTAAGTGTAGGGAGAAGGTACAAGTCTACATCCTCAAACCCTGGAAGCATGGGCTGAGTTACAAAGGAGACCCTGGCACCAGAGAACTTCATTCTCTGACTTTTCAGCACCTACTACTTGTGAGGAGTTAGCAAGACAGAGGCATTAGGATGGGTGTTATTTTGTTGAGTTGTTAGTAGGATGGGAACACACGTAGGAAATTATTTAGATAAGATGTTAATATCAATGCAGATGTGGTATGCATTCTCACAGCATTTGTGGTTTTTTGGGAACATACTCCTGAGTCCCAAGAGTCACAAAGAAGCCATAGTGAAATCCCTCGAAACCCGCCCTCTATCACAGACTTCTTCAAGATGCCGGGAGATTGGCGGACCCCATTCATGAGAGCAGGCCCATCCTGCCTCATTGGCACCTCCGTGTGGGTTTTAGCTGAGGAGACTGATGGGCCAGACAAGTAGCTCCAACTGGGCCACTACGGAAGCCAAGATGCTATGCTTATTAGAAAGGCTCCACATTCAGTACAACTGGTAGAACTGCTGAGTTACCGGGGAGGTGTCAGGAAGCGCAGCCTGGGGGGCATCTAAAGGACAGCCGTATTCTTAACCATTGCAAAGACAGTCACACACACACCGACACAAACAGCCTCACCCTCCTGGGTTTTTCCCTTCCCTATACCCTCGTGCACACACACGCGCTTGCCTCACGTACACTCTCTCAGTCAAAAGGGGGGCCTAGGGGAGACCTCATGGCTGAATCAAATGCTGGTTAATGCTGCTGCTTTTATTACACCAAAGGTCTTAACATTTATTTGGAGAGGAACACAAAACTTGGCATACTGGCATGCATTCTCTACAGCACAGTTTCGGAGGAGCTCAAGATCACCGGACCCCACACGGGAGAACAACGCCGGAGGTGGCAGGGGGACTGTAGGTCCTTGATCTCTCCGGTCAGCAGACTACAGGTGCTCCACTACCACAGCAATCGAGGAATCTTGTGTGCTGGGCAGGTGTGTTTTCAACAGCTAAACAGGTGTGACAAGGGATCCAGGTGTGGGTGAGTCCCTAACACTTAGAGCCGAGAGTTATTTGGGGGTAAGTATATTCTCCCCAAACAGGTAGCACTGACTACAGGGGGGCATGCTTAGCACTGCATCTGAGCTCAGTTAAGCAACCAGGTGTCCTCAGTGAAGGGAATCCTGGTTTCAAAGAAAGAATAAGACATGATGGTGCTATCACAATAAGGCCACTAAAGTCACAGCGAACGAGGATCTCAGAGGAAGCTCTCACGACTACAGGGAAGCAGCTCTATCCTCTCTGACGTCAGGTGCCCCTTGCTGGGTAGGCACCTGCTCTGAGACCTTCACCTGGTCCTTTCTGAGCTGCAGCACATCACTGAGCGCAACAGAGCAGAGGAGGGGGCCACACACGTTAAGGTCATGGGACATCACCACCAAGTGTGGCTGACTGTTGTTGGCAAATGTCTTGGATTCCTTTCCCGGTTGGGCTGGGTGCCCCTGTGTGTCTGGAGAGCTAATCTGAAAAGAGGCTGGCAAAGGACTTCCTCAAGCTCCGGATGGTCTCTGCCTTGGCTTCATCCTCATTGGCTGAAGACCGGAAGAAGGAGGACTCAGAGAAGCTGAAGGCATTTGTCAGGGACTGCGACTTGCTTGAAGATAAAAACCAGAGAGAATGTGAGAGGGTGGTGTTCCCAGCGAGGCAGGGAAGGACGGTGACACGAGGATGCACGACCGGAACGCCCACTCCCACCCCAGGGAGACTGGGTGGCAGAGGAGAAAGCCAGCATGGGGCATGCTAGCAGGCCCCTGGGAGGTCCCTGTGCTCTTCTCTTTACCTGCAGTGCTGCTCAAACAGGAGAGGATGGAGGCAGCATGGGAGAGAGGGAGAAGGGGGAAAGAGAGAAGAGAAGGAAGGAGAAGGGAAGGAGGAAGAAGGGGTGGCTCAAGGCTCTTCCTTTCACTTAACGCTAAAGGGCCCACAGGCTAAATTTCAGGGCCCCAACTTGGCAAGAACTAATCCAGGAATCTCACACCCTTCCCCTTGGATGAAATGTAGCAACCAGGGGCCGGTGGACTCTTGTGCTCTCTTTCTCATCAACTGTCCAGTAGTGGAGCCAGCATCAGAAGACCTGGGTCAAAGTCTTGGTCCCGCCTCTCACTCACTCTTGACCTTAGGAAGCCACGTGCCTGAGACTCGGTTTCTTGTTTGGTTTCTTGATTGTGTTATGTAGATGTCTGGTAAAATGATCTCTAGGCCTTTTCAGCTCTTTCTTTTTTCTCTGATTCTAAAAGAACGTTTTGACTTGGCACGAACTCTAACAACTATATTGACCGTCCTTACAATGGGCGTAATCGCCCTCGCAGCCTCCCTCAGAGGAGGCTAATATGAGGTCTGTGAGTTTCAGGGTGTCCAGGGGCAACAGAGATAGACATCAGGCCTACACAAGGTTACTGGGTAGTTTTCTAATGAAAAAATCCAAACTGCACACATTTTAGGGACCAATTTTTCCCTTGAGACACTAGTGAGTCAGAGAGAAAAACTGTGAAGGCAAGAAGGTGGAGGGGAGGCCAGGCCCAACACTGCAGGAGAGGACACGTGGTCTGGCGTCTCCATGGCCGTCTTCTCTCCTTCTTGACTTCTGCTTGTCTCCTTCCTGCTGGTTCCGGGCTCCAGAACTCCTCTCCCGGTATCTCAGCGCTCCCAGCCCTCCCCTGAACTCGGACACAGCCCCAGAAACTCCCTTCTGCAGGGGCATGAGCCTGTCTCTTCTCCCGCAGGGGCTGAACAGGTGCCCTGCCTTTCACTGGGCCTGGGATGAGCCCCAACATGCTGGCCTCTGGGAGCGGCGACTCCTCGGCATGCACAGGCCGGGGGCACAGGTACAAGCCTCCAGCTTGTCATCAGAGGCTGGCTCGATTCAACAGCTTCAGCCCAAAGGCAGTGACAGCCCACAGATCTGCACTCAGACTGGGGCCGGAGTTGGCTCAAGAGAAGGTAGGCGAGATTAAAAAGTCAGCTGCAGAAAACGACTGGGTTGAGGGGAGGGTGTGAGGCAGGCGAGACATGAAATGTACCCTCGGCCAGAGCTGCGGAGCAAGGCCGGGGGATGGCCCTCCCATCATACAGGACTGGAAGACGCAGGGAAAGTGGTCATCCGGACCACCCGAGCCCTCATCCTGTCTCTGCCGCTAACTAGCAGAAGGGTTTTGACAACATCAGATCTCTCTCAGCAGTGTTTTCTCATCTGTGCAGTGACTAGAGATGATCTCTGAGTGGCTCATCTGAGCCCCAAACTCGACAGCTCCCTGTTCTCTGTCCCTGAGAGTTTCACCTCTTTACTGAGATGCACTCACGGGACGCTTCCAATCCCCCGGGCTGCGGCTGTCTGTGCTGACAGTCATGACAGAGGTCTGTGGTTGGGGACCTTGAAGAGAGCCGTCTCTGGTTCTGGGGGAGGGTGGAGCTGAGCACCCAGGTGCTGTCCCTACCAAGTGCAGCTATACTGTTTTCTAGGGGCCCTCAGTTCTGCCCTCTGAAGCAGGATAGTGTGACAGGGGTTGGGAATGAGCGAGCCCAAGAGGATGGAGTTCCTCAGGGTCTCTGTATGGGCCTCTCCTCTGATGACCACACCAGAGGCCAACCTCGTTCTGACAAAGCTGAACGTAAAGAGCTGAAATGGATTTAAGTACTTCCCCCTTTTCCTTCTGGGCAGCCTTGCTCATTGGCACACCCTAAACTGTGAGTCAGAGGCAGAAAAGAGAATGAAATTTTTTTTTTTAGGGAGAGAAAGACACATATACACACAGAGAAAAGGAACGGAAAAAAGAGTGGGAGGGAGGATTAAAAAAAAAAAACAACAAGCAACCCAAACCCTAAGCTCATACAAGAATGGGAGAGGGGGTAGTAACTGCTTTATTGCCACTCCCCAGGAAGAAAGGGGAGGGTTTGAGCTTCTAGCTAGACCTTAAGACTTTCACTTCCCTCTTTCTTGCCCTCCCCAATCAACCCAACCATGCCCCCCACAAAAAAGCCCACCAAAACCCAAACCCCTGAAAAACCCCACAAAAATATCTTTAGGAGGAGGTCTGATTGAAGGTGCTTCCTAGCAGCTCTGGAGCCCAAGGCCTGAGAGGAGGGGCAGGAAGAGGGGAGGGAGGAGCTGCTGAGTCGTCTCTTACTTGAGCTGTGGGTGAGGCTGGGGCTTCTGTGGTGGAGCAGCCCGGGGTGGCTGGACCTCTGCCAGGGAGCTGCCGCTGGAGGGTGCATCTCCGTGGGTGGTGGGGCCGCCCGAGGAGGAGGAGGAGGAGGAGGAGGAGGAAGAGGAAGGTGGCAGCGGTGGTCCAGGGGGGAGCCGGCGTGGACGCAGCACCTTGCCTGGGGGTGGCATTCCTTGGGGTTGCCCAGGGCCCCCTAGGTTCAGTACAAGAAAAACTTCATAATTTACCCATATCAGAGGGTTTCCTTATTAGAGTCTATGTCCCATAGGGTGTGGCTATTTAATTACCAAAGGATAAGCTCTATGACAAGAAGCCACCTGAGGCTCTGAAGGGCTCCAGAGCGGGCCCCCGGTTACCCTCAGACGTCGCCGCTACACGCTCCTCCTCACACTCACAGCGGCTCAGTCACAACAGAAGTCGGAGCACGGGGAAGAAGCCGTGGGATGAGCGGCCCCCATCAGAGGTGAGCTCTCTTACGGAAGGCCCCCAGACCACAGGGACCACCCCTCTCCCCCAGAGGTTCCTCAGGTACAGGCCAACCTGGCCCACGGTGTACTAGGAGGTCTCAAGTTCCACATTGTTTTTTTGGAGTCGGCCTTAGTCTGTCCTGCTCCACGCCTGCATGTCTGATTGCCGTACCCCCAGCAGGGCTTCCTTTCAGCATTAAGTCATGGCCATGACTAGGACCTTTCGTGTCCAGTTGCCTCTTTGTACCATCCTCAGGGGCTCCAGTCCCTCCCAGGTGTATGTGGTGAAATTCTCCAGAAATCCAAGTCCCATTCTCTCCCTGGAGATGTTGTGAGCACCATTTGGCAAAGAAGAGCCCCGCC